TTTTTTTTTTTTGGTTTTTCGAGACAGGGTTTCTCTGTGTAGCTTTGCGCCTTTCCTGGAACTCACTCTGTAGACCAGGCTGGCCTCGAACCCAGAGATCCGCCTGCCTCTGCCTCCCAAGTGCTAGGATTAAAGGCGTGTGCCACCACCGCCCAGCTTAATGGCACTTTTAAAAAGTATTTGTTTGTTTATCTATCAATTTATTTATTTGTGTGTGCGTGCTTGCACATGCATGGTGGTGTGCATGTGGAGGTCAGAGGACAACTTGCACGAGTCAGTTTTCTCCTTCCAATATGCGCATTCCAGGCGTTGAACTCAGGTCATCAGGCTTAATGGCAAACACCTTTACTCACTGAGCCATGTGGCAGGACTTTGTGATATCTTTGACATCAATTCACTTTTATTCTTTAATTTTACCCTAAGCAATATGATCATGAAAGCAAGGACGGTGGCTTCTTCTTCTTATATAAGCCAACTTAACTATTAAATAGAAATGTCAGCAGATGGAGCACTTGTAAGACGCCTCAGTGCACCATGCTGGGAAGACCCGATACCAAAGAGCTCCTCAGGCCACACACACAAGCAGCCTTCCTGTCTCTGCACCCCAAGCTTGTGTGACTTGTCCAGGGTAAGGTCCACGGGGTACAAGATCCCTGTCCTTGACAAATCTCACTCAGTGTCTGTCTGGCACACCTGGCCTTTCAATAAAGGCTGCATTCGGCTGTTCCTCTTCTCGGCTCTGGGTGGTGCTATGACAGAGGAGCCAGGTCCCAGAGGACATCAGTTACTGACCCCCGAGTTCTTGACCTCGACTTAAGCCCTCCATCTCAAACATATTCCAGCTTTTCAGTCATTACCTCCCACCCTAGGACCCCTTTAAAACACTCACTCATAGCCGGGCGGTAGTGGCGGCGCACGCCTTTAATCCCAGCACTCAGGAAGCAGAGGCAGGTGGATCTCTGTGAGTTCCAGGATAGCCAGAGCTACACAGAGAAACCCTGTCTCAAAAAACAAAACAAACAAACAAACAAAAAACATTTATCCAGCCCCAGCCCAGCATTTCTGGGCTCTGTGGGACAGAAAACGGCTAAGGAATATTTGTGTACTATGAGAAAATTTGTAACTAGAGAAAGTAAGATTAGTGAGATGGATGGGGGTCCGACGTCACCCTAGAATCTGCCGAGAGCCTGTGAAGCACAGATCTGGGAGACGGTGGCCAACGCCCGAGGACCCATCCCACAGTGCCTCAGCTGCTCCTTGGGCTCCTTGGGCTCCAGGGTCCATCCAACTTTTCCACCGCCTTACCCTGCAGC